AGAGAAGCTTGTTATTCACAAATTAGACATCGTAGAGAGAGAATTTCATTAGCTGTGCATATTTACTAATTCATATGGAAAACAGCATGCGGCATCAAGTACAGAGCCCCAAACAAAGAGCAGATTGGGATGGGACTATGGGGCAAAATACTCCTTGGTCTCCCCCAAACTTCACGTCACTGCTAGCGGGGGACTGTCCCCAAGACCCCCGAGCGCAGTCCTGCCTGGCCAGAGTGTGGCTCCCACTGTGGGCTCTAATAAGGAACTGGCTTTGGGCTGGGAATATGGCTGGAAAGCCCTCGTGGCCCACCCCACTCCAGACTGTGCCACCAGTGGACTCTCCTGAGCAGGGTATGGCCTGGCCCAAAGCACGGTTTGCCACCTGACAGCCCCCCATGCCCGCTGTCGGAAGGAAATGGGCTCCAGCCGCAAACCCAGCCCAAAAGCCAGGCCCTTGCTCCAGCCCTTGCACGCCCCAAGTCCACTTTTAACCCCCATTTCCAGTCCCCTGCTCAAGGCACGATCGTGCCCTAGGAACCCGCCTGTCACCTTAATGAGAAGTTTCTGTCGTTTATAGGGTATGTCATAAATGCCCGTAGTCAGTCTAGGCCACAATTAACAATTGACTACAATGCCGAGCAATCGAAGCCTAAAGGATTTAGACAACTAGTCACAAACCGGGGGCACGAAAGGTTCACCAGGGGCATGGGAAGTGCCAGCTGTCCCAGACGCGTGGGGTGTGTGTGTGTGTGCCCAGGACCCAGTCTGCACCGGGCTGTGAAGAGGGACTGACAGAAAGCCGGCCTGAGACAAGCAGCGAGCAGAGGGAGCGGGAGGGAGAGCTGGGAGAAGACTCGCGGGCCGGGCCGGGCCGGGCCGGGCCGGGCAGCCCCCGGGGGAGGCCGCGTGCCCGGGGCAGGACGCGGGCAGTCTCTGGGGCTGTGCATTGACCCCCGTGCGCTCGGGAGAAGAGCGGCGCGGCGCGGCGCGGGGAGCCGCGGGGAGACGCGGCAGGAAGGAGGAGGCGGGGGCTCCTCGGGACAAGGCGAGGCTGCTCTGGTTTGCTCTTGGCCGGGCTGGACGTTGCCGGGGCGGAGGGGGCGAGCTGTTGCTCGAGGGTGCCCGGGGGAGAGCGGGCAGAGAGCGGAGGCGGTACTTCCGCGCCCGCCAGAGACACCGGGGCGCCCCGTGACACTGCCAGTAAAAGGCACTGCTCCGTAGTGCCCGTGCCCGTGCCCGTGCCCGTGCCCCGCGTGTGTTACCGGACAGGGCGCTGCAAAGCAGGGGCGCCTGAACAGCCCCGCAGCCCCCCCGGCCCGACCCGGATCCGGATCCCTGGGGCCGCCCCCGGCGCAGCCCGCGCTCCGGGGCAGGGCTCCTCGCATGCCGGTCGGAGCAGCCGGGGCCCGATCGGGGCTGACTCAGCTGCTCCGTCTCGTCCCCCAGGCTGCGGCACCTCGCGCTTTCCCTCGCTCCGCTTTCCAGCCCTGCTCGGGGCTGCGCAGTCCGCGGGCGAGAGCCCACGTCAGCATTTCCTCTCCTCTCGGCTGCCTGGAAAGCGAAACCGGTTTCGGGGAGACAGTGTAAAGAGGAACAGGGGAGGAGGGCGGGGGCTGCCGCACCGACACTGCTCTCGGGGCCCGATGCGAGTGAGTAACCTACTCGAGATCCGATCAGATATTTAGCTTCAGTAACTCAGATGCGTGTTGAAACGGCTACCTCAGCCACCCTGGTTTGCTCTATGGGATTCCTTTGATATTCCTGTAAGATTTCTATGATATTGCTCTACCTTTTACCCTGTTTCCGCCCTACCCCTGTCATCAATACAGTTCTCCTTTGTGACCGGTGTGGAGACTCATTGAGGGGTGGGTCTAAATTATGCCGAGGAGGCCCCTTAGGTCGGTGGACTAAGGGAGGCTTCCTAATCAGCCCCTGACTTGGGGAAGTGCCCCAAGTGCTTGTACTGGGTCTAGCACCCATTGGACGATCAGTCCTGTGTTCTCCAAGGTGCGCAGAGCCAGAAGTGAGTCCAGAGCCTGGGATGGTGGCAGCGGGAACCCCAGGCTAGCGGGTGTGCTCCAGGGAAGGGGTCGGCCGGACGGGAGGCACCCCAGGGAGGCACTCGGAGCCTGGAAGGGGGTCGGGCGCAGGGAGGTGGGCGGCTCAACGCAGGAGCGCCCCCTACGGGCCCGCTACAATTCACAAATTAGACATCGTAGGAGAGAATTTCATGAGCTATGCATATTTAGTAATTCATATGGAAAACATGCGGCATCCAGTACAGAGCCCTAAACAAAGAGCAGATTAGGATGGGACTATGGGGCAAAATAGTCCTTGGTCTCCCCCAAACTTCACGTCACTGCTAGCGGGGGACTGTCCCCAAGACCCCCGAGCGCAGTCCTGCCTGGCCAGAGTGTGGCTCCCACTGTGGGCTCTAATAAGGAACTGGCTCTGGGCTGGGAATATGGCTGGAAAGCCCTCGTGGACCACCCCACTCCAGACTGTGCCATCAGAGGACTCTCCTGGACATCCCCGAGCAGAGTACAGCCTGGCCCGAAGCAGGGTTTGGCCGTGGCAGCCTGCCACTTGACAGCCCCCCATGCCCACTGTTGGAAGGAAACGGGCTCCAGCCGGACACCCAGCCCAAAAGCCAGGTCCTTGCTCCAGCCCTTGGACGCCCTGAGTCCACTTTTACCCCCCCATTTCCAGTCCCGGCAGCAGCAGGACGCCGACAGTGCCCGGGTCGCCCTGCTTCACCTGCGCCCGGCTCCAGCCTTCCTGCTGCTCGGGGCAATGGGCCTGGCCGCCGCGCAACGCCTTCTGGGGCCGCTCGACGGCACGGCCAGACGCGGACGTGGACGGGGCTCGCACGGGGACCAGCCGCCTGGAGCAGGGCGTGGACCGCGTGCCGCCTGCCACGGTCCCTTCTCCACGCGCACGGCCACGCTTGTCCCAGCTGTCCCAGACGCGTGGGGTGTGTGTGTGTGCGCCCAGGACCCAGTCTGCACCCGGCTGTGAAGAGGGACTGACAGAAACCCGACCTGAGACAAGCAGCGAGGAGAGGGAGCGGGAGGGAGAGCTGGGAGAAGACTCCCAGGCGGGGAGCCCCCAGGGGAGGCCGCGTGCCCGGGGCAGGACGCGGGCAGTCTCTGGGGCTGTGCATTGACCCCCGTGCGCTCGGGAGAAGAGCGGCGCGGCGCGGCGCGGGGAGACGCGGGGAGACGCGGCAGGAAGGAGGAGGCGGGGGCTCCTCGGGACAAGGCGAGGCTGCTCTGGTTTGCTCTTGGCCGGGCTGGACGTTGCCGGAGGGGGGGCGAGCTGGTCCTCGAGGGTGCCCGAGGGGAGCTGAGGCTGCTTCCGCGCCCGGCACAGACAACGGGGACATTTTCCCAGTGTGATCATTATTTGGCACCCGTAGTGAGTCCACATTTATTGCACAGTTCACCAGGGAAGTGCGAGATAATGACTTGGCACTTGTGTGCAGGCGAAATGTTTTGCGTGAAATGCATGATATAGGTAAGGTTGAGCAGGGACCCGAGTCAGCGATTCCCAGTGTCAGTGTTAGCAGTGACTGTGTGCAAACAGAAGTCCTAAGACAAACCCTAGATGTGAGGGGCAGAAGGGACCTCAAGTGAGCATCGAGTCCGCCCCGCTGCCCAGGCAGGAGAGAGCGCTGGGCTCAGATGCCCCCAGCCAGATGCCTTCCAGCCTTCTCTTAAGCCGGTAGCAAGTTACACTAAGCAGGAAAGCAATCAAGCAGGTAGCAATTTACACCCACAGCAGCATAAGTCACCATAGTTACTGCACACTATAGCTATGCACACGTAGATGTGCACCCGTACTGCACAGCAGTTTTCGGTTTCTCTGCAGTAACATAAATGCACTGCTAGCACACAGGGGACCCCCCCCAGCACAGGGACTGCACCCTGCGTGCTAGCATAGCATCCCTGTGGGTTGGGGATGGGTTTCAACTTCTAGTAGCCTGTTCTCTTCCTCCAGCCGGCACCTGTGAACAAGCAGCCTTGCAATCCTCTTATTCCTTCATTGAAGCTGTTTTAGGTACGACTTCCTGGCTTTCTTTTGAGGAAAAGCAAGAACCACCCTCCCCATTTGCCTGAGAAGCATGGCTAGACATGGCCAGAACAGCAGCTTCAAAATATGATGGGCATGTGACTGGGAGTTACTTGATTTTCCTAGGAAGTTATAAACAGGATCTGTGTCCCATTATTGCACGTGGAAAACTTGGAGTGCAAATTCAGAGAAGGGAGGGAGGGAGGGAGAGCTCCTTGCCTCATGTAGTGCATGTCTTCAGTACAGGTTTCTGTGTGGCCAATGGGAAAGTCGCAATGGAAGAGACTTGTACTTTATCTGTTTGAACTGCGAGGCTAACGACCGGTTATTGTGGGCCACAATATCCCAAGTGACTTACAAACCGTGTCTGCTTTAGGGTGCTCATCGATACGTTGGGTTCGGCTGGAGCTAAGCACCTGTGCACGGCACTGGAGACGAAGAGGAGCCTGAAAACTCTTCACTTGTACGATAACAGCGTCCAGGATGAAGGTGTAGAAACTCTGGCTCAGGGCTTATGGAAGAATGACACCCTCCGGCTGTTGAAGTGAGTTGGTCAAACTGAGACTGTGTGTAAAAATAACTAGGCTTGTAGAAATAGCACAGTACAACTGATGGGGCCAGACGCAACTCAATAAGAGGCCAAACTCTAAGTACTACAACATAAAAAGTGCCGTTATTCCAACAAATACACTGAATAATTTCCATAAAAACATTCAAGAAAGTGACTTGTTCTGACACGAGGTGAAATTCACTGTCTGAGTAGTTCACTAGAAACTCTTTGCTCAGCACTGGTCAGAAAGTTTCTTAGCAAGTCAGTAGTCTTCTTACTTTGACACGATGGGACATCCCTTCTATTCATTGTGCTACCACCAGTCCTTTCCCTTCCCATTATACATAGCCCAGTTGTGTGCCAAGTGAACGCGCTTCACAAACCAGAGCATGCAGTTAACAAACGACCGTTCGGTGAATTCACACTTCAGTGGCGCACACGTGCAACAGTTCCTGCGCACAAGAGCAGGGCTCCTCCCAGCATTACTTTTCTACACTTCTGAGATCAGCAGGCCGATGATTCATGGAGACTGGAATATGAAGGAGGAACTTAATTTCCATAGATTCCAACTATTTCCATGTCGACATTTATTCAGTTTATGTGGGTTTTATTCAACGACATTTCACTGGCCAATGGTTTCCCTACCGCCCTACCCAACACGTAGAGGATGTGGGTGCCAGAACATTCATAACACTGCTCTGCGGGGGTGATTGCTGCATCACAATATCCCCAGGATGGCTGACACCTGCACAGCAAGCTGCAGACTGCGGCGGTGACAACAGCCCCAGCGCTGGGCTGCCAAGGTTTTAACAAGCGACCTCACGGACATTTTAGCTTTAGTCTGAGACGGTACATTATGTCCCCGAGAGCCGGTGCTGAAAGATGGCTATTAATCTGGAATTCTCCCCCCAGTAAAATGACTTATCTCCTTGCTTTGACATCTTTTAATGAAGAAATTTAAGTTGGATCGGCTTGTTGGCAAGACTGTTATTAAAAGCCGGACCTTTTGTGCATTTCCTAACCAGTATATTGAGCCTCGTTTCCAGATTTGGACAGTCATTGGGGGCAACGTAAAATCCTAAAACCATGCGCGAAGGCAGGCTCAGCACTTTGTAGGGGCTTCTGGGGGTCTCTTCTCTAGCACAGACCGAAAAGGCTGCCATTTCATGTAAAGTGGCATTTTTCTGCCTCAGAAGTGTGTGGAGAGCAGTGACTTGCATCAGAGGCAGAGATGTCATCCAAACCTCAGGCTTGGTTTGTAGATTTTATCCGGATCTCACTCCAACCCTGAAGCGATGACTCCTTTAGCTCCTACCATCAGGCAGCGTGGCAGCCGCGAGGGATCAGAGGCACGAGGAACGCGAGGACACTGCAATGCCATCGGCAGGGCTTATTTTCCTGCTGTTGTACTCCTTGACTTACATTGCATTACTGACCGTGCTCGTCTCCGTAAGTAAGGTTTTGAGCTTGGTATGCGGATGAGTGAAGGTCGTTCGCAGGAGCGGATGCAGCTCTTATTCAAGTACATAGAAAGCACGTCCATGGACTCAGATGTGTGCAGTGTCAAGCCCAGGTAGCCCACGAGCTTGACCATATGACATGGTTTTATCTGTGTTTTTCCAGCTTGTGCTCAAATGAGTTTGGAAAATCAGGAATCCAGAGCATGGAGGAAGTGAAAAAGCACCGACCTGACTTGCAGCTTGTGTTGAAGGTGACGGAAAGCGAACAGCTGCTTGACGCAGTGCTAGAAATGGTGGAGGAGGTATCCGGTGAACGGCACACGTTCGACAAAAAGTGGCTCCAAACACGATTCAGGCTGCCGAGAAAGAGCTTCACGACGAAGGGAATCTGAGGGAGCCTGGGAGAGGAAAAGTCGTAGAGCTAAAAAAGTTGTTGAGAAACGTTGAAGACCACTTTCAGACGCAGGGACATGGGACGAGAGGACTGTCCAGGTGAAGTAAAAGACTGTCCCCCAGGCGAAAAAGGCAAATTCGTTCAGAGTAGGCAAGCGCTGAAGTTTTAGAAAGCTGGAGGGCTCTTTGAATGACTTCAGCCCCCCGAACGTGTGCATCCCACTTGTGGGCTTGCTCTTCCCGTCAGGGGCAGTGTCCCGTTCCTGGCACTCCCCCAAGCTCAGTGCTGGGTGCAGAGTTTGCTCCGTTCATGACTCCTTCCTACCTTCTCTGGGCCCAAGGGTCCTCCTTTCTCTGACGGGCAGACTACTGGCCGTCCCAGCCAGGGCGCCAAATGGAGCAGGCTCCAGGGGTGGCCGTGATGCCCCGGGGCCACGCGATCCCTGCCTGGCTCCAGCTCGAGGGTGCCCGTCCCTCCTTTCTCACCCGCCTCGTCTTTGATGGAGTTGTTTTATTGGGAGGGCTGCCTGCGGGTCCTAGGCTGAGCCCCAATGTGCCTAATAGCCAGCAGGTCCCTCCTGGACACTGCTCTCAATCCTGCCATTAAGCTGCACGGGCGCTTTCTGCCCGGCAGTGCCCCAGGGCACCTGTAAGCCTTAAAGGCTAGTGACATGTAGTTGTTACCATGTTGTGGCTCGACCTTCTCGGCCCGTGCCCCTTTTCTCTTGCTGAGCCCAATAGCTCGAGTCTGCTGGGGCAGAGCAAACTTCGGGTCCCAGCTTCTGTCTCTCCTCCTTGCATCCTGAGCCCTTTGGCTCTGGTCTTAGTCCCCCCTGGCCTGGTGCCTAATAGCCAGCAGGTCCCTCCTCTGCAACCGCCTTATGTGGTCCAATCCACCTTTTCAGACTCAGGTCACCCCTTGCAACATGTCAGCTTATTTTTGGACTATGGAAAAATCGAGCCAGTCTTCTCTTGCAAAGACCTCGGGCAGACCACAGCAGCTCAGAGTGTTTCTCTCGCTGTTCTTTCCTATTTGAAATCTGGGTTTCTCCTGTGCAGGTGTCTGCACAACTAAGCGTGGTGATATTGAGAGTCCCCCTCCACAACCCTCCCAGGATCTCCTGGCACCTTGGCTGAGAATTGCTGCCCCGGGGCAGAAGAGGAGGGGGTCTTCCCCGGGCCGTAGGCCATGATTTTGGAGAGGCAGGGGGTTCCCCGGGGTTAAGCCCAGCGCCACAATCGGGTCTCTGTTTTCCAGCCGGCTGTGCTAGCGTCAACCGCATCTACAGCCGGGGCAGGGAGCGGGTGTCGGTGCTCATTAATAAACTCAAGAAAACAGAGCCTGGTGTCTTAGTGCTCTCCCACCGCTCTCCAGGGACACTTATTGCCAAAGGTTTTGCCATGGCCACTGCCACCCTTCAGTATTTTCCAGTTCCCTTTTCGCCGTTCTCATGACACTGTTCATTGGCCGGGAAGGAGGGCTTTTGCAGCGGTGGACCATGTTGGGGAACCATTGCTCTAAGATAAGCGTCACCCCCTTGGAGTAGATGGAGGCTGTCAACCCCTGTCCTGAACACCAAGAGCCCAGGGACAGGTTTCACGATGCACAGAGCGTTGGTCCCCCAGTTCCTGCACGGCAGGAGACTCAGGCCTGAAGTGCCAGACAGCCCTCGCCCCACGGTGAACGCTGGGTTTGTGATGAAGGCTTGAACAAACGGTATGCCGCGGTACAGTGTCCGTAGAGATACCGCTTTGCAAACAGAGGAGGCTAACAGAGCTATGTGCCTGTGTCTCCGAGGCAGATGTGAACACTTCTCGCAGCTCCAGGCACATATGATAGGCATGGCCAACAGGAGAGGGCAGAGCCGACTGCGTGTGGGGCAGGGCCCGGGGAGGAGGAAAAGGACCCAGCAGCGCACAGGCCTGGCCTGGAGGGGCCACACACCGTGTCCCGCAGCCCAGCTGTGCTGTCCCATCTGGCGCCCAGGCACGGCCCCTGGGACCCGTGTGCGCTGGGGCTGGCGGGGCTGCACACCCTTGTATCCACGCTGTGGTGGGCTTGAGAGACAGGCAGGCAGGGCTGGGGCATGCGCAGGGGCTGCGCAGGCAAGAGATGAGGCATGGCACGAAGCTGTTAGATGGGGGAGGAGGAATCTGAGTTAAGCACATTTGAAAACGATTACGGCTGTTTTTAGGGTTTAGGCTCTTCAAGCAGGAGTGCCTCCTTAAAAACACCTTTCAATGCTCCTTGAAAACTGTCTCTTCCCTAGTCTCAGTACATGGACGGGAATGACAAGGGAACGTCTAACGCCAGAAAATGAAAGGTGTAAGCTTGTATAGTTTAACACATCAAAGGACTTATTGTGCGGGCATTTGCTTAGAGAAATCCTGCAGTGCGTCTCCACCTCTCCCTGCAGACCAGCCCCGATGCGTCCTCGACTTCTCCCCAGTTCATCTCCTAGCTGCGTGGGACCAGGGCCATCTCCAGTGATGAGGACGTGCCAGGATCCAGGACAGGAACATTTCTTCCCGGGAGAAGTGCTACAACCTGTGCATGCTCCTTTGCCTGAGCAAGGGGGCGCGAGCCCGAAAGCTTGCAAATCAAGAAGTAGTTTTGCAACGACTCACTTGGTCGAATAAAAGATCCCACGCTGCCAAGAGTTCTGCAGGATCCAGTAGCACCACTCTTTCACCCTCCCTTTTTCACTTCCTTTCTGCAGTAACACTGATCATGCTTCCACTGACCGACAAGTCAATACTCCTTTTGGCAATGATAAGGGAGTTTAGTCCCACTGGGTTTGTGTCCACGTGTGAGAGGGGAAAACGGCACTTTCCTGGCGGTTGCAGTCACGGTTCATAACTCAGAACTGAACGGGCTGCAAGGAGGGACGAACCAACCTGGTTTTGGAGCGTTGTTGGGCACATGGGCACTCTGTTTAAACGTCTGCCTCATGCTGCACAGCACACAGGCACCAAAACCCACCAGCTACGTCCTGATGCTCTTGTCATTTCAGGAACAGATTAATGGGACGCTGAGTCACAGGTAGGAGGAAGGAGGGGTAGCAGCAGGGCTGACAGTCGGTCTTGTTAAGAAGCGCGCTGATGTTTGAGCAGAGATCTTGTCCATGAGAGCGTCACTGTTTTAAAAGACGAACTTTAATGGAACCTTTCAACTAATAAATATTTTCTTGTCTGAAATACTAGAAACAGAAATGTCTGAACTATATACATTTGGTCATCTCAGCAATGGAGGTTTTACAGCCGTGCTGCAGACGTTGTCTGGACGCAGGTCAGTGCTTTTGCAGCGTTCAGAGGACACTCGCAGGCGACACACACAGGCTGGGGGCTAAACACCTGATCCTGCCAAACCTTCCCAGACCCCAGGAACCCCCTTCAGATCCCGTCTACCCATGGTCCCTCCCGTGGATCGTGCCGACGACCCCACATTGTGCCCACCCATTCCCCCCCAACCCGCATGGATTACACCTACCCACCCATTCCCCCCCAACCCGCATGGATTACACCTGCCCTCCCACCCCACCCCCCTGCAGACACCACCTGCCCCCTGCCCCTCTGCCGATGCCCCCCACCTAGGGTTTGCGGGGGGAGCAGGGAGCTGTGGGTGGGGAATGAGGG